TATATATATATATATATATATATATATATATATATATATATATATATATAGTGACGTACCTTCAATGCTGTTCTACTCACTACATTTATTTTTAGATGGGACAGGTGTGTTTGCTCGTGAATGGGCCTCTGAGGGTTTGGCAAAGGCATTGGAAAAAACGCAATTATCATTTTTTCAAACAAATAAACAATTCATTACTAAAATCACAAATTAGTACATCATTTGCAATCAAGTAATTTCCCGTTTTGGTACCAAAACTATACCTGTGAGCTCAAATTACACGACACCTTAAATTTCATTAACCGTTCCTTTCTTCTCGGAAGCTCCCCGGCGGCGGCGATCGGCGGCCTTCGGCTCGACTCGGAGCCCGTCGGATGGCCGACCTTCGCTCGGAGGCCCGCGCCTACCCTCAGCTCTTCGCAACGGTCACACGATTACACCTTCGCTCCGGCCCCGGCCGTTGTGAGGGTATTTCAGATCGGGTGTGCGATACCCAATACCACTGCCCACATCTATTTTGTTCGTTATCCCAGTTCTCCCTGGCTGCACAACCTCTCAGTTCTTCTTTATTTACTCTTTCTCAATCACGTATGCACGTGGGTGATCTGGGCTGTCCGGGTGACGCCGCGTCGAAGGCTGAGTTGCCGACGTTTCGACCATCCTGTCGTGGTCTTCCTCAGGGCTGGTATGCCATACCGCATACTTGAGAAAGATAAGGCGTCAAAAATCGTTGCACTAGTGTGAACACTTTTTTAGTTTTCAACGTCAAAAGTAATTTGTTGAGACCGCAAAGTGTGAAAATGGCTTTTAGATTGTACTATCTCAGGTACTAAAACCTTCGATTTATAGAGGAGTATACTGCACTATAATTCAATGTAATGGACAATGAATTGAGTGTTTGAAAACATTTCTTTTAATAATATTTTAGATCCTCCAATAATCACTATGAAAATCAGAATTCCGACGTTGCTTTTCCATCAGAATCGCTTTCAACACCACCAACAAAAAATCTCTGCCATCATTTCGAAAGACGAAAAGGAGATAGTTGTCTTCTGATCTCATGACTTGGAAAATGGAAAACAAGAGACGGTGAGTCATCCATCAAAAACATAATTCGAAAACTACAGAACTCGTCAGTGCAATAAGTCGCAGAGACGACCACTCATTTTTCATAATTTACTTTTTTAATGTTACAAACATAAGATGTACAAACTTTTAAAATTTCGTTAGTCAGTCACAAAAGCTTTGTGTTCTCTCTCTTGCATCTGTCTGTTAGTCTGTACAACAGAGATTGTGAAAGTATTGGATGTCTGTCCTACCGACTCCGATCTCACAGGTCTACCCTTGATTTCGGTACTTTTGAATAAATGTAAATAGAAATAATAATAATAATAATAATAGTAA